GCGGAGAGAGCCGGCTGAGCCGGCCATAAATGTTGCTCTTCCTGGAGTAAAGTGCGTCCAGGATGAGCGTACTTTCGGCTAGGAGAGCAAGAAAAATTATTTTTCTGCCCTCCGGCCGGAAAGTGGCAACTTTCTGGCCGCTGCGCTAAACAAAGTTGCCACATTCCGGCTACGTCGAGCAGAAAAATAGTATACACACCTTGGCCAGTAAAAAGTAAAGCCTCAGATCACATGTTCGTCAACCTCGGCTTCGCCTCGGCCAACAATTACATGTTATCTGAGACTTTTCTTATTTTACTGGCCTAGGTATGTAATATACTATTGAAGAAACTAATTGTCTTGATTCAAGAATTTTTTGTCTTGAATGTCATTTTCTTGGTTTGAGAAATTCTACATTCAAAGATCATAAGTTTATTGACTTCCATCGATACAATCGATTTCTTCATTCTCCACTCGGGAATAATATACATAAAAGCATGTAAGAAATTTATGTGCACACATATATCTTATTATTTATATGTATTTTTGCGGAAAACATATATAAACTATGTATTTTTAATATGTTCGCCTATATATTTTTATTTACATTGGATATATTAAGAACGATATTTTCAAGAATAAATTCAAATATCTGCGTAAATTTTTGAAACAGAAAACCTTTTAGTACCACTGTCTTACAGTGAGCATTTGTTTCAACCGCTGGTCGTCCCGGATATGAATCCGCGTAATAACAAACGCTTGCTTTGAAACGATAAAGCTCGATTCGGGGTCCCGGGGTTTTGTCGAGAGATATATCGTCGGAGCTGAGGGAAGAAACCACACTGAGATAGATACAGATACAGACGCGGTGGTGGGACCAGCGAGATCGATAGTCGAGAGCCGGAAACTCCGAAAGCGCTTTTACCCTCTCTTCTCAAGTCTTGGTCCTAAGAAACTTCCTGGAACCGGTCTAAGAGGACTACGTCAATTACCATATTGTCAACTATTTTTTAACAGTTATGCACTCTTTTAAGTCTTTAATTATAACTTTGATAGTACAATCAAAGTTTTTTTCAAAATTTATGCTTATAAAAAAAAAAAATTATCTAACTTAAGATCAAATTTTCTTGAACCTAAAAAACTTTTAAATGATTAATTTGTATATAAATAATTAAATATTAATTTTTCAAATATTTTAAAGTTAAAAATTTTTTTTAATTGCGTAAAAAAGTAACAAATACAAATTGAAATTTTTTTTAAAAATAAGACCTTTTAAATAAATTATTACTAATAATTAAGAGATATTTGCAATAAAAAAATAAAACAATTGATAAATTTAATTAGTTATATTTCAAGGGAATTTTCTTTAAAGTATAAATGAAAATTAATATTTTTGCTGTATCTAAAAAACAAAATTTACATATTTAAAGTGCAATAGATTAAAATTTATCTTCAACTTTAACTTTTACTATTTTAAATTATAATTAATTTAGATTAATTTGCTTCGATATTGTCATAAAAAAGTGTTATCTTCTTAAAAAATAAAGCATTTTTAAACTTTTTGGGTTATACATTGAGTTTCATGACGACTTATGAGAAATATTATAATTTTTATTATATTTTACAACAAATACGGTTCAGATTTCAATAAAAATAAAAAAAAAAAAAAGAGTTAATAATATATTAAAAATTTTTTACAATCAAAAATAAAAATTAAGAGCATTTATTTTTACTAATAATAAAAATTGAAAAATTTTTTTATTTACACAATGTAAAAATTATAATTTATACTATCATAATTACTTTTTACACCGTAAAAATTCAATAAATTTTAGCATTGTAAAATTTTAACAAGAGAAGTAATTATCAAAGCATAAATAATTTTTTAGTTGGAAGCCAGCGGGAGGAAAAGAGGAGGCTCAAGTAGCAGATGAGGATGGTAAGGCTGTTTTTGGTTTGGGGATCGACTGCGGCGTAATGCGCCAATAAAAATGCAGAGTACGACTGGGTTTCTTGGCAATCGTGGCAGTGGTATATCCAAAGGACTAAAGAGGAGGGAGGAGCCGGGGGTGAGACAGAATGGTGAGAAGAGAATCGAGTATGAGGACGAGGATGTAGAGAGACATATAAAAGAGAAAATGGTTTTTGGGCGATTCGCGGGTTGAGAATAGAACGAGTAGAGAGACGTTAAAATTTTTTCGGCGAATAAATTTTAGTGTCCTCGCCTGTAGGATAATGCTGAGAATGTTCAGCCGACATGTGGGATGTGAGCGGCCGGTGAAAAAATCTAAATTATAACCGGCAACATACGACTCGATAAACACTGTAAAAATGAAAAATATTAAAATAAAACTCGAGTGTGTTGAATTTTTGAGCGAAATGAAATAAAGTTAAATAAAAATTATAAATTTACGCGTCAAGATAGAGAAGAGTCGAGGAAGTGGAAGTAGATCTAGAAGAGGTATGACTACCGACTCTGCTATGCCGGGCAGACGCATTATATTAGTCGCGATGTTAAAATGTCCTGCTCGCTAGTATTCTAGGTGTTTTTGAATTTATCTGCAAGGACGAGGTTCTCTGGTTATATTTGTCGGCATTTCGCATCGTAGGGTGAGAAAGAGACACTCCTACGCATTCTCTGGTATAAACAGAGATATATCTGTGAATAAAAGGTAGCAACGTTTATACGTTAGCGTTCTGGTGGTTACTGGTATAGTATGATATTATGAACGGAAGAGAATGCAGTTAATATAACGTCAGTGGCAAGCGGCGGCTGTGGAACGCCGTTATTTTTGATGCATATAAATGCATCGGAAACGGGCTACATGGCTGGATAAATCATACCAATTATAGTTTCTGCGATTAGTTTAAGTGGCAAACAACCTCAACTTCTATTGGAAAACCTTTTTCTCAACACTTGATTATCTGTTGATAACCTTTTTCTTCAAAGCGATGAGAAAGTCCTGAAATTTGGCGATTTTCGTCGCTTGGATTTTTTTAATTAACCCGAAAGAATTGATTTATTTTTTATTCTATGAAAATATGTTTTGCTTTGAGATCTTTTGATAAAAATCAGCTGGAAAAAAAATTTTTTAAGGGTTGCTAAAAGTTTTTTTAAATTTCCAAAAATAGTTTATTGTATTTTTAATTTTTTCTTATCGTTGTATTATTTTATAGATTAAAAATTATAGACATTATAAAAATTTAAAGTTCCTATTTTTAAATCGCTTAAAAATCCATCTTAAGAATCGCTCTAAATTTAATAAATTTTTGAAATAATGTTCCTGAAATGTATTCCGTTGACTTTTGAATATGAATATTGAAAAATCGTTTTTTTATTTATTTTTTTCGGTCGTTGATGTACTAAACATGATAAAAGACGAGATAAATAATAGTTAATAATACAATTATATGATACTAAATTTTAATTAAGATGGTAAATAAGAGATTACAATTTCTGAGTTATTGCAAGGTATTAAGTTACCATAAGTCGATAAAAGTAAAAGGTTACGTTACCTACGTTGAATGAAATTCCGACCGCTGACATTAGTTACCATTGGAAGCTATTTATCCTATAAATTATAGCCATTTCTATTTTAATTTGCCATTTCAATGTTTTTACTTAAGTTAAAAAATAAAATTTTGATTTATCCTGAAAGAAAACCACTTAGTATAGAAAGGATCGATCACTTTTCCTTTTATTTTTCTTATTGATTAAAAAAATAAAGTTTTTATTCACTGTACAGTTAGTTTCTTTCGAAAGTATACTATAGTGAAATTTTTTTCCTGCGCAATTTTCAATAATTCAATCAACAGTTTCACAATTTTCCAGATAATAATTAATTTTTATTTTTTTTTAGTCTTCTTATAATATTTAAAGTCACCCAAAATTTAATAAATAATACACTCAATAATCTTATTTGTTAAATTTAATAAATTTTATTTATTCAACATACACAGAAAAAAAGAATTATTTGAACTGAATAAGATTTATTTGAGCCAAAAATATCGTATACTTGGATATGGCCAAATAAATATTTATTTGTGAGAAATATACGATATATTTGAGCTATTTAATTGCGTCAAATAAGTGATTTATTTGTTGTCAAGATATGATTTATTTGTGGTAAATAAATGATAGTTGACGCAAATAATGCATATTTTAAAATATTAAAAATTAATTGTACATATTTTTAGGTTATTATAGCGCTACTATAGAATAAAAAATTTATAATTTATTTTATTAGAACAGAAATATAATTAAAAATTCAAATCACCTTTAGATATAATATGGTTGCCTTCAGCTGTAACATGCACTTTTATTGGACGGAGACAATTATTAATATTGAAAATTAAATTTTTTTCAGTTGTATTTTTATCAGGTAATATTGCTATGTATCCTTTTAAATGATCATTTAAACCGACAGTTAAACAGTTAATTAACAATTGTTCCATCGCTTCGATCACTATTATGAATTATTTAAAATTGAGAATTGAGATTTCATACAATAATACGCACTATTATAAAAAAAAACAACAAACGTTTTTAATGAAAATAGCGGTCACTTGAGAGTCAGTTCGGGTGACGTCCGAAGAATATGCGCGCGCAGTAGTTGAGAATTCAACATTTGACTGGTACCCTCAAAGATGCCGTTGTTTACCATAAACTTAGCATCTTTACCACAAATAAATGATATATTTCTGACAAATAATAAAATAATTCGAGTCAACTGTTATATTTACTTGTACCAAATATATATGGTTGTCACAAAGAAATATTTAAAAAAATGACTCAAATAAATTGATTTATTTGAGACAAATAATTCTTTTTTTCTGTGTACGACCCTAACAGAAAAAAATTACAAAAATTCTAGGAGGTCGTTAAAGAAAATTTCTTTATACTTAATACAATTAAGCTTTATAATTTATGAGGTAGATAACACAAACAATCATTAGAAATAAAAATAACCTACTATAAATCTAACAAATATTTTCTAAATAAGAAATTTTATAAAAGCTTATCAAAAATTTTCAGTTGTAATGTCCTGAAGAATTGCTTTCATTGCAAAAGGATTGTCAAGTGGCGCCTGTAATGTAAAGTTCAGTATTATTATGTTATTATCAAAGAAATCGATTTTTGACTCACCATATGTCCAGCTCTGCTGATCCAATATAGCCTTAACGTTCCATATCCTTTAACAAATCCTTCCAAAATATTATCAACTACCAGTGCATCTCTTTTAGTACTTCTCCACAATTCCGCGTGTCTCCATTTGAGTTTTTCCATCCAAGCGAGAGTACCAGCCGTCGGAATAATCGGATCAAGCTGCCCGTTGAAGACGTACACTTTTAAGCTTGTTTCATTCAAAAGTTTTTCAACTAAAAATTAAAGTTATTGCTTGATCAAAAAATTACATGTTAAGAAATTATAACGCAATTAAGAAATTTACCTGTATTAGTAACCGGCTTCAGAAAGTCGGCAATCAGATGTTCGTAGACAGGATCAGAAGAAATAGTCCACTCATAATCAGTGAGATTCAATGCCTTTTTTACGGTGTTATTTATAGAACTTTGTAAGCTTTTGTTCAAATCTTCGAAATCGTTTGTGTAGTTGGAAAATTTCCGATAGCCAGAAGTATATATATGAGAAGAAACAAATTTTTTCTCAATAAGGATGTTATTAAAATCACTGATCCGATAGAGGTAACGATCGGCGCAGTTTGTTAGAAATATATTAAATGCTTGGATCCACTCTTCTGAATTAATTAATTTTTGAAGTTCTTTTGTACTTTTTTGGACGTCAATATAATCTATCGTGTCGATCATACCCTGCAAGTATTTTAATATATACATATATTGACCTTAGCTACTTTCAGTTCACAGTAAGAATATTTACCATATTTAATAAATATTCTGCTGAATGATATATTGAATCAATTGGTGAAATCCACGGACTTCCTAAACCGATTCCTTGAAGTTTGCTAATTATAGTCCCTTTTTCTTGAGCCTGTACAGTAAAAAGTAATACATGTTAAGAGATGCTAAATTAAATCTCTGACACTAATAAAAAAGTTAATTTGTAAAAGTTAAAATACAATGAAGAAAATGATTTTTTTGAGTCAAGAGCAAAAAGTCCTGAATGAAAAAAAAATTTACTCAAATTAAGATTAATTTTTAAGTTTTTTTCTCTTTAATAAAATTAACTTTATTAGTATATAGTCACTAATTCTATAATTAAAAAATTGTAATTGCCAATAATAGTAAGATACATTAATTAACTTATAATTCCTCGGAATAATATCAACTTAATTAATTAGTGAACATTAAATGAATGCTATCCTTTAAATAAATGATTAATTGATGAAAAAAAAAAAAAAAAAAATACATTACTTTGTACCAGATGTGAGCAAATTCGACAACAACTTTTCCACCATAGGACTCCCCCAAGATATAAGAAGAAACATTCCTGAACCGAGGAACTCTATCAAAAAATTTTCCAATACATCCCATAAGATCATTGACTATTTCTTGATTATCATTGACGTAGAGCGAGTCGTTTTCAACGTAACTGAATCCAGTACCAACTGGACTATCGATGAACAGAACATTGTAATCGTTTACCCACGTGTAATTACGTTTTTGTAGATTTATATCAAGTGGCCCGAACTCTATAAAGTTTCCATAGCCAGTTGAGGCCACTCCTGGGCCACCTTGCAGCCAAATTAGTAGTGGTTTGTCAAAGACGTCGAAATCTGGTGATTTAACCGGTGGGTTGACGTAGTAAAGCCACCAGAACATATAAGCGCCGGGCCGAACTTCGAAATGGCCCCAGTCTTGTTCACCAGGTCCAAAACCTTTCTTGGCTTCCGTGACTATTACTTGGTCTAAGAATCAATTAAAGTTCAATTGTATTATTAAGTTAATTTAACAATTGTTAAGTGAAAATAATCGATAAGTATACCTTGAAAATAAATAATTTTTGATAAAATTATCAATGAGATCCAATACATTTTGAGATAAAGTAAAGGTTGATGTTCGTCTGCACAGAAAAAAATATTTTTTTGCACCAACAAAATTTTTAGAAAGACTAAAGTTGTTTTGGAACTGTAGATTAGGGAAAAATTTCAAAACTTCATAGACCAATTTTTGAATATACCAATTTAATGAAGTTTTGAAATTTTTTTTCATGAGACACCGAATCTATGAAATTTTAAATTTAAATACAAAAAAAAAATACTTATTTATTACACAAACTTCTAAACTCTATCATAATTAATACATGATATCTTCCTCAATCTTCAATTCGAACTCAAAAAATCTTACGCTTGCGCGTTTACTGGATAAAATAAAACTGTTATGGACCGTAAGACATAATTTATATTTTTAATTGAGTATTTGGCCTTAGTTGTTACACTAATAGACCGGAAACTTCTGAGATTAATTTTATTGAGGATAGATGTTGTTAGTAATAAATAGTAAATAAAATGTTTAAGGAGCCATGAAACAAGATTTGATAACATTTTTATGAGATAATTTTTGGTGCATTGTTTTGAGCTAAATTTTGGACAGATTTTAATAAAATTTAAACCACATATAAAAAATAGAATAATAAAAGCAGGGAACTAATTTATTTATGAAATTTTTACAAAAAAAAAAATTAATTCAAAAGAAAAATCGCAACTTTATACAGCCTACAGAAATCTATAATTTATCGTACATTCGGTGCATTATTATTAATAATTGTGATTATAAATAATCAGCTTTATAAATTTTTTATAACTTAATAATGACAAAGAATGCAGGGAACTCTTTTTTATAATCATTGTTTCCATAAAATAAACAAAAATTCATTATTTCGACGTAGATTTCTGTAGGCTGTATAAAGTTGCGATTTTTCTTTTGAATTAATTTTTTTTTTGTAAAAATTTCATAAATAAATTAGTTACCTGCTTTTATTATTCTATTTTTTATGTGTGGTTTAAATTTTATTAAAATCTGTCCAAAATTTAGCTCAAAACAATGCACCAAAAATTATCTCATAAAAATGTTATCAAATCTTCTTTCATGGCCCCTTAATTATAATTAATTAATAAAATAATTATGAATAATTAATACATATGTAATATGTTATAAATATAATAATATTTTTATAAATTCAAAGATAAACACTAAAAATAGTTAAAATAATTTATAAATAGTCAGAATAATTAATTTATTAATAGTTAATAATGAAATTGTACCTGGTTTACTGATATTTTCATTGTTTTGTTTAAATTAGATTATTTACGTAACTTAAATTCACTTTACAAACAAAATTAATTTTAATTTTTACATGTTATTTTAATGGAACGTAAAAAAATCTTAAAAGAGAGATTTTTGGTGAAAATCGTAAAGATATTGAATTTTAGGGCATTACTCTAAAATCTTTCTGTTTAAAATAAATTCTTTTTGCTAATTGTCTTTATTTGAGTATTTATTATTTTATCAATTCGATTTTTAATCCCTTTAATGTACCCGAGTCTTTTACAAACAGCCGAACGAGACACTTAATAATCGCACTCGAATAATTTTTTACTATAGTTAAAAATGAAATAAAATCATGTTTAATTTTTTGTAATTAATTAATATGTAAAGAAAAAATCTTTACATAACAAGACTATTGTTACGATCACTCGGAATAAAACCTCAAGATCTCCTCATCAAGAATAAAATGAGACTAAATAACTATTTTTGTATTCAATGAAGACATAATACAGTCATACAAGAGGTAGTCATTATTTTACTGCGAATTAATTAATTATCTTGATCTTATTAAGTAAACTTTTTTTATAAATCTATTTATAATTTGTGTCCCGGAAACTGCTTGTAACTTAATTGAGTTTACTGGCATTGCCAAATAAGTAAAATCGCTCTTATTTTGGCTAATAATTTAATAAAGAATTAATTTGAATCAAGAGAAAAATTTTTGAACTGCATTAAATTATGTGAAAAAATAAAAATATGTCCAGACAAGAATTTTTTGACTTCAAAATTTGTTAAAATAAAAAATTTAATATATTAATTATTTCTAAAATAATTAAATACATTATCATAACACTTATTATTCCACTTTTTGAACTCTTACTTAAATAGCTCGTATTGTTATTATTATTAAAATTAAAATTAACTGATATAATTAATAGTTCCAAACGGTTGATTAATAAATCCGTAATGAGCTCACTATTTTTTCGCTTAAAATCGCTTCAAATGAATAACCACTAGTCAACGAGCTTTCGTAATATCCAATTCGTATTTCTACAAACAACAGCCCGCTGTCTCCAGTTAATGAATTGGAACAAATAATTGGGGCATTGATTGACTAAAAAATTCTATTAATTAATATCAATGAATTTATTGGCCAATACTGACCCAGTAAGCTGCTCCAATAAATTATTTTTTATCCAAATAAAACATAAAATTAAATTAATATTACCAAAAACTTACAAATTTTAAATAACTTGATTAAATTTGACGACTCGTCAATTAAAAGACCCGGATATCAACTAATTCAACTCAAATGTGGAGTTAAAAAGCCTATACGCTTCTATTTATTAGATATTTATCGATGGAGCTGAGAAGGAGATCCCATTTACGCTTCTGGGAATTTTTTACATAATCTTGGTCTTCTTTTTCTATGGTTTATGTCTTGACTCGATAGCTTTATTAGATTATACTTATATTTATACCTACATGCATTATTATTATTATTATTTTTTACGTACATGTTTTTATATTGCGTAGCTTTGAGAGAGGGTATCCATGAAGGTAGGGATCAACACCTCTAAGCTTAGAGTTCTCAGCCGGAGAATCGCAGTCGAAGAGTGTCAGGAAGACGATCATCATCATATCATCTTCATCAATTCTTCATCATGTTACTTGTGCTCACGCTTGTACTTTTTCTGTCGCATAATGCTATCGGGAGGTATCATGTAAGTGATTTTTATTATTTTTACAATATTTATGATTCTTTAATTAGTTTATCTAATTGAAGTTATTAAAATAGATTTAATTAATTAATTATATTATAAAATACACATTATTTAATATTTAACAATGTTAATTATTAATAATTAATTAAGTATTAATATCTGTTAAAAATTACCGTAAAAAATTATTTATAAACTTTTAATAGAAGAAATAAATTTATTATTTTAGAAAATTTATATAAAAAAAAAATTAATAATTTATGTCTTAGGATTTAAATTATTAATATTATTTTTTTTTTTATTATTTTTATTCAATCATAAAAAATACAGTTAAAAAATTTAATTTTTTTTTTTTTATAAATTGCTTATTGGAATAATTTTGAGCTTAAGTTTAAAGCGGCGAATTATTTGCAGCCGTGCGAAAATAAATTTGATGACTCGAATGTTTATACGAGTGAATTGAATTTCAGTGAACGCTGGGTTATATATTTAGTAGTTTGTATTGAGATTTATATATGTATGGGTAATATAAGACTCGTTATTGTGTAAGGCTAAGTAGAGTAAGATTTGGAGGGTCAAAGTTTACATGATAAGTAAAACCACATATTAATACAGTCAGCATCCGGTAAAAAACCCGAAATATAAATTCTTCTTATCGATTTCTATTCAAACAACTTCTGTTATCGTATCAATTTTAAAAAATTTTTGTTAACAAAATTTAGAAAAAAAAAAATTACTTTGTATTTATTTTATGAATGTTTTTTTTAATTATTTACAGGAAAAAACGAGATTTGATCGCTCAGTGAACTTGTTTGTTGAATTACAGAATCTAGATTATCGGCATGAGACACCCGAAGTATTCATTGATTACACTATGGTAAAAATTTTTCTTTTTATTTCTTTGGTATATTAATTATAGTAAAAATCAAAAAATAAAAATTTTTCTTTCTTCACATTTTACTCTTCAGTAAATTAACAATTAAAATAATTAATAAAATTAAGAAATTTATTTTTTGTCGTAGTAAAATTAATTTGTTGCCTTAATTATTAGTTATTTTAATAAAATTAATTAGCTACTTTCACAACAAAATTTATTTGATCATCTAACTATTTAATATTTCTGCAGCAAAATATTTTTTGTTAAACCAAAAAAAAAATATTTGTTATCTCTTCTTAATAATTCAGTTGCTTCAACAAATCGATTTTTTAATTTAGCTAAAATATTTTATTTGACTAACTAAAAAGTTCTGCAAAATTAACAAAATTATTTTGTTGTTTTAACATAAATACATTTTATAATAAATTTTTTTATAAATTTACTCTAAAAATACAATTAATAATTTCAGCGCTACGTAGTCTTTAGATGTGCCAAAGAAAATGTGTGCTACTTAGAGAAGATGCGGGATGATTATTGGAAGTCAATATTGACTGGAAAAATCCGTCCAAAAGTTTTGTATCCATCTTCGTCAACATTGACGCTAGTAGAAGTATGCATTTTTTTTCTACATAATTATTAAAATTACATTTAATAAAAAAAAAAATTATTTTTAGGCATGGAAATTAGCCGGCGGTAGGGTTGTAAACTTCTGCAACGGAATTCCAATGAAACTGCTGGAAGAAACTCAACCAGTGCCTCAGGACACGCAGGATCCGTTTTTGAATGAAATCCCCCAAGATGATAACGAAATTTTCCAGAAACGGGTTACGGACGTGGTGATAACTCCGCTTATCGATCGCGCTAAACGAGAGATAATGATGGAGAACCGTGAAAAAATGAACGGGGAGGAGTACGTGAGAGTTCGAAGACACGCTTATCCGGGAAAATTTCGCGGGCAAACGCAGTCGCAGTATTTGAATTTTGATAAGGAAGGGGATAAAGCGGGAAAAGCTGAAGCGGAAGCTACTAATGAGTCTTCTCGGGCTGTCGTTAGTGAGTGATTACGCGACGTACAATCTGAATCTAAATTTATCAAAATTATGTTGATAGTTTTGTGAATAATTAAACAAAAAAAATTGTAATTTTCCTTTTGGAATAAAAATTATTACTAATACAATGAAATTGGTCTTAAATCATTGAAACAATTGGCATTTACTAACTCCTAGATTTTTTTAGAGGTGGAGGGACTTTAAAGTGTTTAATGCAACTAAAACTGTTTATTTCAGGTGGTACCAACGGAATGGGACAAGCTCAAAGTATGACTGCAGGTGGCTCGTGCGAAGACTGCCCAGGTTACCAGAAATTTCCTCCAGTACCGGTAGGTTACACAGGATTGCCTGGAGGAGGTGGAACAGGATTGACTGTTCCAGGAACTTTGCCGGGAATAAATGGTCCAGGTGTTGGTTATCCGGGGACAATTGTTCCGGGAACGACAGGAACTTTCCCGCAAACTGGAGGTGCATTGCCGGGAACGTACCCAGGAGTTAATTTGCCGGGAACTGGGCAGGGAGTTCCAGGAACTTATCCGGGAGGAGTTGTTCCACCAGGCGGTCAAATACCTGGAGGATATCCAGGAACCTCCTATCCAGGTGGCCAACGACCAGGCGTGGGACAACCTGGTAGTCAAGTAGGAACGGGAGGGTATCCAGGTGGTATTGTTCCTGGAACTGGTCAACCAGGAACTTATCCTGGAGTAGGACAGCCGGGAACTTATCCAGGTGGTAGTGTTCCGGGGACTGGTTCACCAGGAACTTATCCAGGCAGTAATGTTCCAGGAACTAGTCAACCAGGATCATATCCTGGAAGTGTTCCAGGGATTGGTCAACCAGGAACTTATCCTGGAGTAGGACAGCCAGGAACTTATCCAGGTGGTAGTGTTCCAGGAACTGGTCAACCAGGAACCTATCCAGGTGGTATTTCAGGAGTAGGACAGCCGGGAACTTATCCAGGTGGTAGTGTTCCAGGAACTGGTCAACCAGGGACCTATCCAGGTGGTAGTGTTCCAGGAACTGGTCAACCAGGAACTTATCCTGGCAGTATTCCGGGAATTAGTCAACCAGGAACTTATCCTGGAGTAGGACAACCAGGCACTTATCCAGGTGGTAGTGGTCCAGGAACTTATCCCGGTGGTAGTGTTCCGGGAACTTATCCAGGTGTTAGCGTTCCAGGAACTAGTCAACCAGGCACTTATCCAGGCAGTATGCCAGGAGTAGGACAACCGGGAACTTATCCAGGTGGTAGTGTTCCAGGAACTGGTCAACCAGGAACTTATCCAGGAGGTACTCCTGGAGTCGGACAACCAGGAACCTATCCTGGTAGTATTCCAGGGGTTGGTCAACCAGGAACTTATCCTGGAGTAGGACAACCAGGAACTTATCCAGGTGGTAGTGTTCCAGGAACTGGTCAACCAGACACCTATCCAGGTAGTATACCAGGATTAGGACAGCCGGGAACTTATCCAGGTGGTAGCGTTCCAGGAACTGGTCAACAAGGCACTTACCCAGGAGGTACTCCTGGAGTAGGACAACCAGGAACTTATCCAGGTGGTATGCCAGGAGTAGGACAGCCCGGAACTTACCCAGGTGGTAGCGTTCCAGGAACTTATCCAGGTGAAATTCCGGGGGTTGGACAACCAGGAACATATCCTGGGAGTTTACCAGGAACTGGTACCGGAATTATACCCGGAACTGGACAACCAGGGACTTATCCAGGTGGTGGTACTATACTACCTGGTTCTCAAGGTGGAGTATCATTACCAGGTGGCCCATATCCAGGGGGTTTAATCCCTCCTGGTGGAGTTTACCCACCAGGGACAACTTATCCCGGTGGAGTAATCCCTCCAAACGGTACCCCAGGAACATATCCAGGAATTTTCCCACCAGGAACTTATCCCGGAACCGTTCCAGGGTTCTATCCAGGAGGAGTAGTACCACCAGGCGCATTAATCCCCGGTCAATATCCATCAGGTGTTGTTACTGCAGCAGCAGATGACGCAGATTCACATGCTTCAAGCGAGGTCAAGCAAAACGAAGCCGGAACCCAGGCAAGCGCTTCAGCGGACGGCACATACGGAACTGGAACTGCCAAGTCTCAGGTCAGCGGTATCTACACAGGCGCTGGTTCGTTCTCAGCTCAAGCGGGAATCAACGACGGCAACAAAGGCGCCCAAACTCAAGTTTCTGGCGGTAAAGAGGGCGCTATGAGCAGCGCCCAAGGCTTCGGAGGACAAGGTAAAAGCCAAACTCAAGTGCAGCTGGACTCCGAGACCGGAGCAACAACCACCGGGTCTCAAAGCAGCGGATTCAACCATGACACCAGTTCCCAAGTTCAAGCTAGCATGAAAGGTGGAATGGCTGATGCCCAAGCCAACGGAGAGGGCAGCACGTCCTCCCAAGCTCAGATTGGGTTTCAACCATACATGGGTTCCGCAGAACTGGACAAAGTCCAGTCAAAGCCATTTAAAGGTGGAGGTACAGCTTCAGCTCAAAGTGGGACTTATCAAGGACAATCCCAATCACAAATTGAAGGCTCTTTTCAATATGGAATCACTTACACTGGCGCCGCTCAAGCTGGTTCTGGATCTGGTGCTGCTGCATCAAGACGACCCTTCAATTTCACCAACTCAGACTCAAAATTATTCAAGAGTTTCGATAAATTCGAGCCTATCAAGATATCCAGTGACGGCAAAGATGAACCAACAGCTCAACCTGAACTTGACACGGCCATAACTGGAACCCATACTTTGAAAACTAGTTCCAGCACTAGGAAGACTGTTCTCAGTAGAACACCCACCAGGCAAGAGCCTCAGGAGGCTGGATTGGAGACGGGGCCTGTTGAGTACGATGCTGAGGAAGATGAGGAGTATGAAGATGATGACTATGCTGCTGCTCCGGGAAAAATGGACGCTAAGTTGAGAACCGCTGAGTCGAGGAAAATTCATGAACATCATGCTAAGCATGATGGTCTTGGGAAACAAGATTCTTTGAGACCCAAAGAGGGAGATCTCTTGCAACCTGGAGATTCGCTTCCAGGATTCACTGTTCCTCAGGGACTCAGAGCTAGAGTCACTTCAGCTTCTGGGGAACGGGCGCCAAGTCAAGCTGGTGGGAAACATCAACCTCAGACAGTTATTCTCGCTCCGAATCCGGATCGCTCTCAACAAATTGGGAAGTTTAATCCTGATACTAGGGCTTTGAAGCCTGGACATAATCAGAATTATCTTCATGCAACGCATTCTGGAAAATATACTAGTGAGTTAATTAAAAATTAGATATATTGTTGAGAAATAAAATTTATTTTGAAAAAAATGAGTAATTTTGTAATAAAAAATGAACTTATTGGAAATTTTAATCAATTGCACGCCTCATAAGGGAAAATCTAAAAATCAAAATTTTGTAGCAAAGAATTTTTTTTGGGCCTTCTGTTAAAGGTCTAAATTTTTGAATAGTTACTCGTTGAAATTTGTCAAAAAATTTTGAAATTTTTTGAAAATTCCCTCAAATAATAAGAAATTTTTATTACAAGTTTTGAAAAAATTTTTCATACAAAAAAAATATTTTTTTCTAAGTTAGCGAAGGAAAATTTTTTTAAATTTCTTTATTGAGAAAATTATAAAAAAACTGCCTATTTTTTTGTGAAAATTTTCCAACATATTAATTTGTTGTTATAAAAATTAATTTACTTGTTATAGATCCTGGAAAAACAAGATCGATGACACCAACACCAGTAAAATCAAACTACTACACGGTAACAAACAGCGTAGCTGGAAATATGGGTGATCCACGCAGAAAATACGAGCACCGCTACTACACCAAAAGCTCAACTTGCGGCTACTTTACATTCTCTTGCAACATAGTCCACGGTTCCAACGGCAGAACCAAAATCTGCAAGCCAAAGATGCCGACGTACCCCGATGGCACTCCTATGAAATGCTAGTTATTTAAATTAAATTAAATTGCATTTTTTTTATCACATATCTAACGCATATTTATAATTTATAACAATTATATACATTTTATGTAAACATATTTATACATTTTCTATATCTATATTAAAAAAAAAAAAAATACTTTCAGTCGTTGTTTTTTTTTATTTTTTATTTATTTAACAGAGGTACGTGATTAACAATCTTTCTTTCGGATTACTATTATATCACGTGTGCGTTTTTTTAAAGCGACAAGGATTTAATAAAAATAATAGCGATTAAATAGTAATTGTAATCGATAACAGTTACTATCAATATTATTATTAAATACATAAAATATAAGTTAGGTCTATTAATTATTGCTTCGACCTATCTCTTTTTTTATGATTGAGTATCACGACAGGAAAATTCGGCTATTTTATTTCAAAACAAAGTTCTAAAAATTTTTTGTAAAAAAGTTTGAATTTTTAATATCTCATTAATTGATATTAAATAATTTTATTAAAAATTTTTCTGTAATTAATTATTAAAAATTGGATTTTTAATTCTCAGTTTATAGTAATTGTTAGCCGAACATATTTATTTTAAATAATCTCGCTAAATGCACTAAAAATAAAAAAAAACGGTAAGTTTTTATTTATATAAATTGATTCTTATCAATTATGTAAAAATAAAAAAAAAATAAATATGAGAATTGAGTCATCAAAAACAAAAATAGTGAATAAAAAAAAGCAATCATTATAAACTATAATTATGATGAAAAATTTGATTCATAAATAAAAAATGAGTCGATAAAAAATTATTTTTACAAAATAATATTAGATTGAAAATTAATAAAAAAAAAATTATAAAAATTCATTAATACTGAATATATAAGCAGCTTTAAAAATTATTCAATCACTGTGTTTTGAAATTATACAGCCGAACTTTTTAATAAACTTTTCTTTTTCATTATTTTTTTAAAATCTCAATTGAACATTATATTAGTAATTATATAGAAGTAAAGCTCCACTTTTTTACGGTAAAAAAACTAAAAAATTTTTTCTAAAAAAAGTAGTCCAAGTTTTGTAGAACATTTATTAAACAGACTTGAAATTTCAGGAAATATTCTCGAAATATCTTCAACAAAACGCCCAAAGTAAATTTTTCAAAAATTCTTCCTGTCGCCAAACAAGTGAATCTCCACTTCAATACAACCACTTTACATTAAAAAACCCCCAAATTTTCTCCCTCAACTCTATAAACTCTCAGGATGATAAAATATTTACAATTGATCTACAAACCTTTCAAATAAATATAAAAAATAAAACAGTACATTCCTTAGTCGCTAGTGGAATGATAAAAGATAACTCCCACTTTATAGTTTCATGATTCTTGATACCGGACAAAATATCCTCTGAAATACTCTAAAAAAAATTAACCCTAGACAAAATATCTCAAATAATTAAATTTTTCAATAAAACAATCTAAAAAATTATCAAATTTATTTTAACAAAAACTTTAAAATTGGTTATTAGGTAACATTTGTTACAACAAAAGTTATCATTAATCAATTATCACAAACAGGTAATTTGGTTTTTTTTTTTTTTTTTCAATTAAAATAAAATTGCGTGTCAACTAAGCCAGTGTCAATAACTGGGTCTTTTACCTAATTAATCTTAAAAAGATAAAAATATTTAAATACTTCCAGTGATATTTTGTCGTCATATCAAGAAACCTGATCCCAACTTTATCTCCCACTTAATAAAATTTATTCAAACCACCTACACCCTACCCGCTGACAAAAATCAGCCTTTACTCACATTAATCATCCCTGACCTCATCACTAATTTCCTTAACAACATCAGGCGCGCAAGACTCCGTGCTATTTTTAAAATGCTCAATCTGAACATTAGCAGACTCCAATTGCTCAATTAAATTCTCATTATTCCTCTGGAGTTTCCTCACAGTATTAGTAGCAGCATCAACCTCATCCTGAGCAGCAGCGAGCTCCCTCTTAAGTTCCTCAACCCTAGACCTAACTCGCTTAACTTCCGTCTCATACTGCTCGGACCTTCTCAGGGCGTGAGTCAATTCGGTAGTTTTCTCGTTGAGAGCCTTCTTGAGCTTAGCATTCACATGCTTCATATCCAGCAAATCTTGCTGGAGTTGCCGAGTGTCTCCGTCGATTCCAGAACTATTTCTAGACCTTCTAGAGTCAACCCTGTCCTGGATTTCCCGAAGCTCATTCACTAGTTGCTTGTTTTCCCGCTCTAGCGAGCTTTTTTCCGTCTCCAGCCGCTCGCGTTTCGCCCACTCAGCAGCGTTTTCTGCCTGGAGTCTCTCTAATTCTCCTCTTAATTCATTCAGTCGCTGGTCCATGCCCTCGCGGTTGGCAGCTTCGTCCAGCAAGTCAGCCTGAGCTGCCAACAATTCTATCTGGTACTGTTCTTTTAAATCACTCAGTTCTTTTAGAACATCAGCTCGGCTTTTTTGCAATTCGTCACATCGGCTGCGGAGCGACATCACTTCTAACCGGAGTTGCTCCAAGCTCTGGCTATTTTTCTCCAGATCTTCCGACTGGAGCCCCAAATTGATCATTAGAGGATCATCACCTTCTTCAGAATTAATTTTGGTATTATCTTCCATCAACTTGGCAATATCCCGCTCCAAGCTGCTCATCGAGCCCTCTTTATAGAGCTCAACAGCGTGCTTTGGAACTGCGCCCTGGAGAACATACTCCTCAATATCTCGATCAGTAGACTCCTGGCAAGAATCGTCACGACAGGGCGGACTTTTTGGGCAATTGCTTGGAGAAGTTTTGTCGCATCGGTCGACATTATTGTACAGCTCCAATAAATCGTCGATCCCGAGTGAGTTCCGCAGCTGCGGGTCCGACTCGATTATATTGACTATCTGCCGGTCGAACTGCCCGGCATGCTTCAGCAAGACCATGTGGAGTTTTTCCATCTCTTTACGCAACCGCTCGTTCTGGTGCTCCAGCTCTTGGGACTCGTGCTTGTAACTGTTCGCGTCCTTGACGGCTATTTCTAATTTTGTACGGAGTAATTTGGCTTCTTCGCGGGCTTTGTTGCGCTCGTTACGCACTTTGCTCCATTTTTCACGCCAATTTGCGGTACAGTCCGACCACCATCTCATTGTTTTCTCCATTTGGGCGGCTCGAGCTCTTGCTTCTTCTAATTCTCGCGTTCGGAGCGCCTAGATAATTTTTATTCAATTATTAATCTATATTATTAAGGGAATGAGACAAATTTTGTTGCCGGGATAGTTACATGATAAAATCGATTTTTTTAGTGAAATTTAGTGACATTTGATAATTATTTAGGCTGCATTTAGAAATGCTCTATTTCTAAATACATAATTAAGAAATTACCTTGTATCTTGTAAAATCTTGACATTTTTTAAGATGTAAGCTCATCTTGATGTTACACTTATTAAAACCTTTCATTTGAGTACCCACATCAATTTTTCATATATATTTTATATATTTTTATATATTATATATATGTATATATGAAAAATATATCGAAAATGCATGTGGGTACTCAAATGAAAGCTCTTGATGAGTGTCACATCGGGATGAGCTTGTATCTTTAAAAATGTCAATAATTAAGAACTGACATTGCTATCTTGTGAAATATTAACATTTTTAAAGATATAAGCTCATCCCGATGTTACACTCATCGAGAGCTTTCATTTGAGTACCCACATCCTCAAATGAAAGCTCTTGATGAGTGTAACATCGAGATGAGCTTATATCTTGAAAAACATCAATATTTAAGAAAGTACAGTGCAATTTAACAAATATCTTGTGAACTATTGACATTTTTAAAGATATAAGCTCACCCTAACATTACACTCATCGAGACCTTTCATTTGAATACCCACATCAATTTTTCATATATTTTATATATTTATATATATTATATATATGTATGTATGAAAAATATATCAAAAATACATGTGGGTACTCAAATGAAAGCCCTTGATGAGTGTAACATCGGGATGACCTTATATCTTTAAAAATGGCGATAGTTAAGAAGGTACAAAGCATTATTAACAAATATCTTGTGAACTATTGACATTTTTAACGATACAAGCTCACCCTGACATTGCACTCATTGAGATCTTTCATTTGAGTACCTACATCAATTTTTCATATATTTTATATATTTATATATATTATATATATGTAAAATATGAAAAATATATCAAAAATGCATGTGGGTACTCAAATGGAAGCTCTTGATGAGTGTAACGTCGAGATCAGCTTATATCTTTTATAATTTTTTTTAAATTTCTACATGTTAATTTTTTTGCAATAATTTATTATTCTCTAAAATTCTTGAAATTATTAAATATCTCCTAAATTAATTCTCAGAGTAATTTCAGTATTAAAAAATAAAAAAAATAAATTATTAACCTCTTTAGTCTCCCATTCACTGTCTCCATAATGAGGTAAACGAGAATTCGTACCAATATCATGGTCTTTTAAGTGCCTTCGGGATGACGTTCCACTGGCTGTTGATGATTGAGCCATCGTAACTTACGAAACTAACCTTTAAGTTTATAAAAGTTAAATTTATATTTATAAAACCAATTTAATGAAAAAAATACATATAAGTACTTGAAGAAATAAATATACAAGGCAATTATTTTTAAAACATTACCTGTTGATAGATAAATTTTCTAAATTATTCCACTTGACAACGCGTAATCCTGGATGTCAAAATCTGACGTATGTTTATGATATTCCTTAAAAAATATCATCTGGTTGATTTTTCAATAGAAGTAAATTTTATTACTTACAAGATAAATAAATATGAAAGTGTTGATAATCTTTTTCTATGTACCTCATTGTATTTTATTAAACTCAAGTGAATACTAAAATAATTACTGTTATTGTTAGAACATACAGTTGTCCCAGCAAGAGAATGAACCTTGGGTTTGTTTGGGAATTTTACCATCTTTTAAATATTTATTCACTGCGCATGCGTTTACAACCAAGTACTCGGAATATGTATTCCTCCGCAAGCGGTATATTTAATTAGTGAAAACTGTTCAAATTAGAAATTTTAAGTTTTATGATAAAGAATATTTATTATAGAGAGTTTATTTTGTTTCAAATAAATTGAGTATCATTGAAAAAGTCTTGAACTGGAGTTGTGCCTCTTCATGGTTTCATATCATTCTCACCAGTACTTAATTTATGATGATAAGTATACGCTGCATTGGAAAATACTCTATCTCTAGATACATAATTGAGAAATGACATTGTATCTTGTGAACTATTGACATTTTTAAAGATATAAGCTCATCCTGATGTTACACTCATCAAGACCTTTCATTTGAGTACCTACATCAATTTTTCATATATTTATATAAATATGTATATATGAAAAATTTATCAAAATGCATGTGGGTACTCAAATGAAAGGTCTTGATGAGTGTAACATCGGGATGAGCTTATATCTTTAACAATGTCGATAGTTAAGAAAGTACAGTGCAATTTAATAAAAGTCACATTACTTAATAACGCAAAATTTTATTTATTTATAGTTCACAAGTCATGGCAGTCGCATGATATGTGGTATGCATTACTTAGCTACAAGCTCATATAATTTTGCGGCACGTAAATAATCTTTAATTTTTTTTACAATATTGTACCATGACAACTACCTTAATGACAAATTCAAAATTTAAAGTATTTCTTAAAATACTGCTTTTACTGTAACTTATAGGTAATCGCTTGCTTTGCCAACTCTTTTCGTCAAGTTTGATTTAAGTTATAGATAAGGTGGCTGATGTTTTGATTCTGACCCTGATAGCTACAGTTTCAGACCAACCAAGTTGGTGTCAGATAGTTGCCACCAACTTACCGACAACTTGCGGTCAACTTCCGAATTTGAAACTGTTGGCGTCAAGTTGGCTACAAGTTTCTGAGAAAAACAAGACCAATCTACTGCCGCAATATGTCGCCAAATTTCTCGAGAAACTTCCCTGATAGCCAGCGCTTTCTCAGTAAGCGTTGACTTCCAGCAGTTACGGTTAATTTATACATCAAGTTGGCGGTAATTCTTCACTCAACAACAGTTGTAAGCAAATTGACGGAAATCTACGGCCGCAACTTGAATACAAGTCAGCAATCAAACTTGTAGTTAAACTTCCTTTCAACTTTACTACAATTTGAAGGAAATACTTGTACAGCAAGTTTTGACGTCTATTTGGAGAGTAAGTTATAGGTAACTAATAGGTAATCGCTCGCTTTGCCAACTCTTTCCGTCAAGTTTGCTTCAAATTGCGGACGTAGATTGACAGTAAGTTATAGGTAAGGTGGCTATCAGGGTTGTCGTCAACTTGGTGCGAAAGAGTTTCGAAAGCAATTTCTGCCGACAACTTGGCAACAACTTGGTGAACAACCGAGTTTATTTCCAAGACTTGCCGCCAACTTGGTGACAAGTTGCTGCAGCAAATCAACGGAAAGTTGCGACCGGTTTGGCTATCAGGGATAGGTAATCGCTTGCTTTGCCAACTCTTTTTGACAAGTTTGCTTTAAGTTATAGATAAGGTGGCTGATGTTTTAATTCTGAGACAGAAAAAATTAAAAAATGACAGAGAAAGACTTTCGATGTCGATAAAGTAAGACACATTGTTACCAATTGTAAGTAAGTAACCAAACTCTATGTTACCAACAGCGCTGCTACAGACGCGCTCTCTGATACAAAAAATTCAAACTCGCTACTCGGCTGCGCGGCAACGACTACTATATTATTATTATTATCATTATTCTATACGTACTACGCAGTGCAACACGTGCTATAAGTCGTATTATAAATCAAATATTAAATTATTAATTAAAAAAACTGTATTAATTGACAAGTTAATTTGAATTAACTTGAACATCCTTTGATTTTCGAGGAAGAAGAACTCATTCACCACTTCAATTCTAATTCAGGTAATATTCAAGGCACCTATTTTATAATTCTGCAATATTCAGTCATATATATTTAACTTATTGTTGCTCGATACCGCATATGACATCACCATGCCGGTGTATTTTTTTTATTCAAATTAAAATGATTATGATACTCGTCACAATTATTTTTGTGTAATTAATAATAAATAAACATTTTATTATGCTAGTAATATTGGTTACTCAGCAATCCGAAATAAAGTTCTTGCTCTGGTAACCTGAATAAAAAAAAGTATTGAGACAAAGGAAAAAGTATTGAAAAGAATTGAATTGACTAGAAAACCAATTCTTTTCAATACTTTTTCCGTTGTCTCAATACTTTTTTTTAATCAGGGTAACAGATTAAAGTCAATGCTCGAACTCAATACTTTTCACATTCCTCGTAAAATTATTGTCGCATTAAACTGTGACATTCTTTGCACAAATCCTCAAATTTATTTAAAGTAATGTTTTTTGGATATCTATGGTTATGATTATTATTTTTGAATTTTAATGATTACGGTTTTAATGACAAAATTATGTACAAATAATTAGATAAAAAAAAATATAAGAGATTAGCCATATATCATTTTATAAACATAAATGTAATTTTATGTGATTTTATCTAATAATGTAAATAATTTTCCAAAATATCGCACAATATTTAATCAATTTTATTTATTTAATTTGAATTTAAAGATAAAAAAGACTAGACATGATAGAATTTAATAAAATTGTTCGAAATTGTATAAAGCTTCTGAAAAACAGGATTTTTTATCTGATTTTTGATTTTTTTCATTGTTTATTGTTATTATTTGTTACAGACTCGACCCGAAAAACGGACAATGACAGTAATAGACTGCCCAGAACGGGAAGACAATACCGGACGTGACGATTCAAAGTGGGTTGCCGAAATGTTGTGTGAGCTCCAGTCCGTGATAAATCCTGGACGAATTGGGCTCTTCGGTGGTCGTCAGAGTGTATGGATCCGCATTCTACCACTTGTACCCGAGAAAGCATGTTGGTACTTCGTTGGCTGTACCGCCAAGCCATTGAGTCCTAAGACCCTCTGGAAAACTTTTGAATTCATTCATGACATACAGACACAAAAAGTTAAATGTCATGATTTGAAAAAGACACCACTCCGGAGGGGAAAGGCTGCCAGTCAACGTTCTGAGAACACTGAGGTTGGGAAAACCTCCCATCAGGAGACTCAGAGAGACGTTGCTGGCCAAGAATTGGATGGCACAGCCAAGGATCAAGAAACTCTAGGACTACGAAAAGCACTGGAGCTCACGCAAACGCTGGACGAACTCATACGAGCAAACATACAACAACAGCATCAAATACGACAGCAAGGAGTACGGATACGACAGCTAGAACAAAAAGTACAACAAATAGAACGACGACAACGACAATCACCAAGACAACGACGACAACCATCATCACAACACCATTCACCCCAACACCAATCACCTCAAAACCATTTACAACAACACCATTCACCACAACAGGAATCACGACGACGACGACGACGACGACGACGACGACGACGAAGACAAACACAATCATCATCATCACACCAATCACAATCATCATCACCACGACAGACGCCACGACAAGGACGAGGACGAGAATCTGACGTTCGAGCGGGCGCTCTTGGTACACGACATCCAAGAGCGTCCATGGCTTTGGACGTCAGTAAACCGTGCCTATCTAGTCGACAGGGAAGACCTGTTCCAGCAAGTACGCTGGAAAGAGCGACTAAAGAGGGACGGTAACAAGATTTGTTTTAACTGCTTGGACCCGGATTGTAAGCTCACTAAATTAAGACTTGACAGAGCACAGCTCCACGTGTGGCAGACGCACGAGGGTCAGCTGTGCAAATGCCCTGTTTGTCCGTTCACGGGGAAAGTAAACAACGGCAACCTCACTCGTGGTATTTTAAACAGACATTTTATGGAGAATCCAGAACACGACAGACGGTTTTGGGAAGAGAATTAAGAGTCCAGTGCGCTTGTCGTAAGTAACATCAAGTAATCTACATTTACTGTTAAAATTTTTGACATCTTAACAAATTGGAAATTTTTGGCTGAGATAAATTTTATTTTTAATTCAAAATTGGACCATTTTTTGTTAACTTTAATTCAATTTATCGATTAATCAATTCAATCAAGATAATAGTGTAATATATAAAATGGAACTTGATATACTAATGATAATTTACGAAAGTTTATATGAATAATGGAATTATTAATGTAAATAACTATTTATATATAAAGTAAATTACATGTAATTACTTTTTCTTCTTTTTCGAAATTTTATAAATGTAAGTATCCTAATGAGTTTATTTTACGATATTAAATTTGTAGCTGTGAGATTTTTTATTAAAATTTCGATACGTCTAAAAATTCGTAAAAGCTATTTACTAACACGGAGAAAAAAAAACAACATTGATTACTATTTTGTAAAGTACTCAGTACTGTTTTGGAAGATAATGAGCTTAAAATGTTTGGGACAGTAAAGAGCGCTACATAAAAACTACTGACTACTACTGTCTGTAAACTACTGAGTCATGTTCTGGGACTAACTAGTCGTGTTTCGTACAGCACTCACTACTGACTACCTAACCGTACTGCCTTAAGGTGGCTATCACTGTATTATATTACCGATAGTCGGTAGAGTTGAGACGAAAATTATCAAACAATAACCAAGTAACTTTCATTACAATCCCCCCAAGTCATAAATCATAATTTAACTACATATAATCATAATGATTAAATATTGAAATTTTATTTATGTACGTAAGATATATGAAGAGTGTGTCATGTCTTGTAGCTGACCAACTCAGTACAGGATTGAGGAAAGAACCTGTTTGATAAGTACACGGCGGATGATGCGTTGACTATTGACCCAATAAAAAAAATATTGTACAAGAAATTATTGCTGAGAATTTTTGTAGCGAAAGATTTTTGCATGAGAAAAAAGAGACGGTCACCGCTAAAAAAGTGTCTCTACCTGTCAATGAATAAAAAAAAAATTTATTCACTTTGTCTAATTTTTTAGAAAATAATTATTATAAATTTTTTTTATTTAATTATTATTAATTTTATTATTATAAAAATTGATATTATTTATAAATGAATGAATAATAAGGTAAGAACAATTGTACCGTGCTTGGGGAGCCGGTATCAGTTGAGCACTACTGTTGAGTTCCCTCTCTACCATTAGTCCGGGTAACGAACGCGCTCGCTTTATCGAAAATCCGCTCGCGTTCAACTCGCTATTATTTGACCCCGATCAAAAATTAATTTTTTTCAAAATAGCCAAGTTTTTCGCAATTAAATTCTAGATTTTTTAAAGTAGGTGCGAGTCCTATAGTAAATTTAGTTTTGGAAATATTGGCTTCCAAAAAAAAGCGGTTTTTTGATTTTTAAAAATCAAATTTTTGAGATAAATATTTTGAAAAATATTAAAAATGTTCCTTTTATTACCAGAAATATGTGGAAAAAATCAAAAATGAAATCGGTTGATTTTTCAGCTTGCTAGCTCAATTTGTTTATGAAACTTCGATTGTTAATAACTAATAAACTATAAGTCTTACAGAAATTTACCCGAAAACAAAGTTGTAGATTTTTTTATGCTCTACAAATTCTATGTAAAAACTTAACCCGCCAGATTAATAGTTTCAGAGATATTTAATTTTTAATTTACGTTTTTTTTGTTTGCCTATTATTTATTAACAAATTGAGACCGCCATTAGATACTTGTTAGAATTTCATATTAACCTACTTGGATTTGGAATTTCAAGAAATTTAAATTTTTCGATCAACTTCCAGTTGGCACAGCCAATTTGGCTAATTTCTGTGGGCTAAGCCGGTTGGTGGGAGAAAAGCGGGATTTCAATGTAAGTGCTATGCTACTATACGGTACACTCTCTGTACTGGTGCACATGAACTACATCACGCGACATAACAGTTAACTCTAAAGTCTTCAACTTTAGTTTTAGTTTATCATCCAAGCTCAGTACTTTAACAACTAATCTGTTATTTACTAATTGCAAAGTGTAGTTATTTTTTCTCAAATCTGCAACTTTGATAAATTTAGCCAATAGTTTAAATAATTTAAATATCAAAAATGGTGTGTGCGTGTACTATGACAATAATTGCAATTCTTTATATTTTATTCGATGTTAATTATTTTTTGAGAATAGCTTTTACGATCGGTTGGGGCAGACTTTTTCAAAAAAAGAAGAAAGTTTTTGAAAAAACTACTATCTATGGTAAAATTTTATCTTTTTTTTCTTATTTTTTATTATTAATTAATTTTATTTTAATTTACACAATAAAAATTACTATCAGATAGAATAATGAAAAAGAAAAAAAAAACTCTTGTCTCATTAAACTTTTAAAAACGAGTATAAGTATTTCCGTTTATTCGAATGTCAAATGTCACGAATCGTATAAATAAATTAATTTAATTTTTGCTCTCTGAACATTCATTAATTTTTAATTATCATTATCATTGGTAATTTAAGTTGCAGACAAGAATAAAATGAGCTTATTAAAAAATAAATAAATAAATAAAAATAAATGTCTAGAGCTTACGCGGCACCTGCTCTGTTGTTGAACTGTTAAATTTAATTTCTAACGGTCAGAGTTAAGATAACGCCTATAGCGTTTGTATTTTGATAGTGTTTGTATTTTAGTTGGTAATCATCATAATTACTACTGTTACATGGTACATTGTGATAAGATAAACAAACATAAGTTTGATATTATATTTATTGATCCTAAGTAAATGATTTAATTTGTAACTGAATAATTATTTGAATAAAATGATATTAATATGAATTATGACTACGATTATCATCCATGATTTATAAACAATAATGAAAATTATCAGGAACTTGGACTATGAAAAATAACTCAGTGTCAAATTTTTTAAATGTTGCAACGTTTCGTTGTATTTCACAACTTCATCAGGCAAACTGTACAAACAGTTGCCTGAACAGTTTGTACAGTTTGCCTGATGAAGTTGTGAAATACAAGAGAAAACATATTGGAGCAAAAATATCATTTTGAAGAATTTGATTATCTTGGATTAAATATTAGAGAAATTCTTAAATCAAGTAAAATATACTTGAACTATATAAGAATAATATCTTAGATCAAGAATTTTTTCACTTAATTTAAGTCCATCAAATTCTTTATAATGATTTTCTTAGATCAATAATTTTTCTCTTGAAATAAATAAATTTTTTTATCTATACTCATGGAAAAAATACTCTTAAATAAGGACTTAAATTTAAATATGCGCAGATTTAAAATTTTCTATTGGTATTTCCAATGAGCATTCTTTTAATTTCAAATGCACAAAATTATCAATGATATATTTTTTAATTATTTATTATTATTTTAGAAATAAATAATGTATAATATAATCTGTATTTAAGCTAACTAGCGCAGTTAGCTTGCGTATAAGCTAAAAACTGATATTAAATTGACACTATTTACACGGAAAAAAGAAAACTGGAAAAATTACAGTTTCAGATTGTAATTATTACAGATTTTATAAGAATTACATTGTAGAATGTAATATTTACATTAAGAGCTCTGAATATTAAATTAAAAAATTGAATTAAGAAAAATGTTTATTTCAAACTGTAATTTTTCTAGTTTTGATTACGACAGGACCGATTTTATATTTTATACTGTAATTTTTCGAGTTTTCTTTTTCCGTGTACAGTGATACAATTTGTAAAAAATTGAACCACTTTTAAGATGCAATTTCAGTAAAATTTACAAAATATTTTTTCCATGTGGCTTAAGATTTTCTTCTCTTGACTCGTTAATTTTTTTATCAGCGTATTACCCATCAATTAACCCTTCATTATTAGACAGACTTATAATACGATACTTTTATAACCAATAATGAAAATTATCAGGAACTTGGACTATAAAAAATAACTCAGTGTCAAATTTTTTAAATGTTGCAACGTTTCGTTGTATTTCACAACTTCATCAGGCAAACTGTACAAACAGTTGCCTGAACAGTTTGTACAGTTTGCCTGATGAAGTTGTGAAATACAACGAAACGTTGCAATATTTAAAAAATTTGACACTGAGTTATTTTTTATAGTCCAAGTTCCTGATAATTTTCATTATTATTAATATGAAAAATGAGTAAAAAATTATGATAATGTTATTGAAATTATTTTATTTAATTTATTTATTCATTTGTCTTCAATTAAAAATTCATTTTATTTATAATTTTACACTAGTGCTAGAACAAAAATTATTTTTAAAAAATCAATAATCTATATTATTAAGAAAATAAAAAAATTTTGTGTCCAGGAGAGTCATATGATAAAATCAGTTTTTTTATAAATGATAAATATTTAGGCTGCATTCGAAAATTTTCTATCTCTGGATACATAATTAAAAAATGACCTTGTATCTTGTGAACTATTGACATTTTTAAAGATATAAGCTCATCCTGACATAATACTCATCGAGACCTTTCATTTGAGTACCCACATCAATTTTTCATATATTTTATGTATTTATATATATTATATATATGTCTATATGAAAAATATATCAAAAATGCATGTGGGTGCTCAAATGAAAGCTCTTGATGAGTGTAACATCGTGATGAGCTTATATCTTTAAAAACATCAATATTCAAGAAAGTCCAATGCAATTTAACAAAAATTAATCAATTAATAATTAATAAAAATAAATATTTGTAATTAAAAAATAATTATCGATAAATTCAAACGTTAAAAATTTTTAAAAACATTTTTTATAAAATATTGACATGACTCTAATAACAAATAAATTTCCAGGCATCTGTACATCTCAAGACGTGGATATATTTTTAAAGCACATGAACAACGCTCGATACCTCCGCGAGTTAGATTTCGCACGATTCCACTACTACGATAGATCGGGAATCTACGGGGAAGTGAGTCGCAGAGGTGGAGGCGCAGTTCAAGGTGCATCATCGACTCGTTATCGACGAGCGCTGCCTATTTTTACACCTTACAAAGTGACAACACAGTTGATTTACTGGGACGAGAAAAACTTCTACCTCGAACACGAGTTCATCAGTCTGTCAGACAATTTCGTCCGCGCAGTCGTCCTCAGCAAGCAGACGGTCACCGGGTTAAAGGTCCCCGTGTCGGAGGTGATCGCTAAGGTCGAGCCCTCTGCCCAGAGGCCGGAGATGTCCAACGAGCTCAAGTTATGGCTTGACTCCATGGAGGAATCCTCACAGAAATTGAAAAAACGCAGCTAAACTTATTTTCAAATTCATTTTTTTTTTTTTTAATATATTTTATTTATAATTATTATTTTATTGTCTTAGGTGATTGAAAAGGCTGTTGATATTTACTTAATAGCTTAATTTTCTATATATTATTGTTATTACTAAATTTTATAAACAATTTTATTTATTTCTTATCATCCAAACGATGATACTGCAATGAACAGATTAAGAATTTATTTAAAATATTAATTTATTTAAGAAATAAATTAATACAAAAAAAATATTTTTTAAAAATTGCGTTCATAGTTTTGTAAATTTTTCATAATTATGTGGAATTTTTTGATTATTTTTTTTTTGTTAAAATTTACTTATAAAAAAAGTGAAATAAAAATTTGTAATGTCTATTACTTTTTGTATCATATTAGAGTAATGAATTTTCACCAAAATAAAGAAAGAAAACACTCTGCATCCGAAGTAAATTTGACGTTCTTTTTTTCAGCGGAGTAAATATTAATTTTCATCCAATCCGTAAATTTTTCATAGCGTATTAAAATAATTATTTAATAATAATTATAGTCATAGTACCCAACAAATTAATTATGGACTTAAAAACTTTTACATACCTTCGAACGATGTTTGACGATCATAAAAATAACTCCATCTCTTTTCACCTTTGGACAGTGCTGTAAAATTTTATTAATTAATAATTTTTTTTTTTTTTTTTTTTATTAATTTATTGCATTAAACAATTATGTACATGTTTTTAGCAAGGGGGTAATATGAATAAATTTGCATATAAAAATATTAAATAAACATATCTTCATTTGTGGGCAATGTTATAAAAATAATAAGAATAATGTCATGGGAACAGTAAAAAAACATGAAAAGAGATTAAAGTTGGGTAAAGACAACAAATTAGAGTTGTAGGGCCCAATCTTTAAGGTACATAAACTTGTTGGTAAAATTTACAATCTTATATAAGGTTTTTTGGTCCGATGAGGAGAGTACAGCTGAAATTTGCTCCTTGCACTGTAGTAAGTTCGGCATATAAAAATTCCTGAGGCTTGAAAAGTAAGGACATGCTGTCATAAAGTGCTCAATGGAGTCAGGTTCTTTTTGGTTGCAAAGTTGACAAGTAGAGCTCGGAGTAAATTTTATCATAAGGTTGTTCGCATTCAGGTAGCAATTGTGTTTGTTTGCCAATCTCAGTTGTGCTATCAAGCGTTTGTTTCTGAGTGGGAACCTCAGCAAAAGGTATCTGGCTGGAGTATGTGGGTCTGGCAAGTGCAGAGAGAATTCAAGCGACCTGGAGTCTTTTGCTGCATTTAAGTCAGCGTGATAGAGTATGTTTCGGTATCTGCTGAGAATAGATTCGGTTTTAGATTCCCATAAAAGGGAATTTATTAATTAATAACAAACTTACGTTAGTAGTGAAATACAAAAAACTTGATTTTGTTTCTTTTAAAATTAAGGTAATATTTTTTTTTGAATTTCGTTTTAATTTATCATTAGTCGTTAGTTAATGCATCTTGTAAATAATTTTTTTTTAATACAGCCTTGAATAGTTTAATCTGCCAATTTCCGTATAGGGACATTTAAAAAATGATTTATCGACATACTATAGATTATTTCAAGCCATATAAGATAATTTTATTCAATAGCTTGATGATTTTCAATTATAAAAAATTATTTGATGACTCTAAATACTTTTAATGTTTTAAGAAATAATAATTAATTTAATTACTAAGACATTTTTGTATTAATTTTGATGATTCAGACGAATTTCGCAATCTTTAGATCTGTTACAAAATAACTGCAAAATTTTTCAGGATTTTTTTTTTAGAAAATTTCTTAGATTTAAAAATTTTTTAAAACATTTACAAATTTTTTTAATTTTTATAAAATTTTATGTTAAAAAATTGCATCGGTAAAATAAGCATGATATTATTAACATCGACAGCGATTTATTTTACCGACACTAAAATCTGCATTACTCCGATAATTTTTTTAAATTACCCGGTTACTTCAATAATATTTCTAGAATTAACAATTTTTATATAAGGGGTATTCCATGCCAAATCGACCACTTTTGACCCCGACCCTTTTCGATTTGGCCGAAAGTTTTCCATCCTTTTCTACCCTATAAAAAACGGTTCTCAGAATTTTTTTGAATTTTTTTACCTAACTCCAAAAAAGTTATGAATTTTTCAAAAAAATGGCTTTTTTATTTTCAAATAGCCATAACTTTTTCAAAACTAAACATTTAGGTACCTTTTTTTTTTCAAAATTTTTGTTTTTAGATGTACTTTCCGATAAAAAATATTAAAAAATTTTTGTAAGTCAATACATATGGAATTTTTCAGTTTTTTGACAAAAATCAATGCTTTTTCGAAGTTCGAAATTTTTTTTTTTAATTTTTTTTTT